TGCAAGAAGGAATGAAGATAACATGTCAATAAATCTAAAATATATAATGCCCTGTGGGTTCTTAAAAGAGTATTAAAAACATACTTCAACAGACATACAAGTCAAAGGTTGATTAATGAGGTTAGTATCCTTGCATTGATGACAAAAGTATAAATTAAACACTGGACATTTTAAAATGTTTTATTTTAAAATAAAATTGATAGACAAGTCGAAGAAATAGCACAAATAATTCCAGTATTTCATTTATCTAGATTTGCCAAATTTTAACATTGTCTTATTGCTTTATTTCCTCCCTCTCACCCTTTCTTTATGTCTACACATATTTTACTGAATCATGCGTTGGTTGCATTTATTATATGCCTTTAAATATTAAGACATTTTCTTACATAATCAACATACTTTCCAAATTTAGGAAATTCAACATTGATATAACATATCTAATCTACAGGCCATTTTTCAACTTTGTCAATTTTCCCTATAATATCCTTTATAGTAATTTCTTCAACAGGATCCATTGTATTGTTTCAGTTGCCACATCGCTAGGTTTTTTACATTGTTCTTTCATCAGTATTTTGAATGACCAACTATTTTATAGAATGTAATGTAACATTCAATTTTGACAGGTTAAGATGCCTGTTATAATCACATGGATATTGACCAAAGGCAGATTTAAGGTGAAGCTAGTGATCTAACTTCTGTCTACTTCAGGAAGGAGTTAGCTGTGGCACTAACTCCACTTGGGGATCCCCGAGCTGTGGGAAAGGTCACAAGTCCAGCAATTTCTCCCCGGCAACAAAACAACCCATGGTGGCTCTCACTGCATGTCACACAAAGTATATGACTTAAAGAATTTGTAGTTATTTCCTCCCTAAAAACCTACCTTTATATAGTTACTACCTGCTCCCCGCATCTCCACCCTGCAGAGGCCCCTGGGGAGATGGGATGCAGAAAGCAGAAGCATCTCAGGAGCGGGGAGGACCTGTACTACCTGCTGGATCACTGCGTAGCCAAGGGCAGGGGAATGGTGTGCATGCCTCCCCGCCCAAACACACTGAACGAGGGACATGTAGCATAATGTGAAAGGAAATGTTCTTAAACTACCAATTATGAAAGGAAATGTTCTTAAACTACCAATAATAAAAGACAAACTTAAATCAATTCTGCCAGGTAAAATAATTTGTTCCCTTAAAAAATTATCAAAAATCATTCCTCTAAAAAAAAAAAATCATTCCTCTATGAAGAGGCAATTAGCGAATTCAGTCAAAAATACAGGGTAAAAGTATTAAGAGATGTGTTGTCAGTTAACAAGTTTCTCTACTTTTCTCATTCTACATGTTCTTATTTGTATTTTTATAGAGAGCCCTGAAAATTGTAAAGGCTTCAGACTCGACTAGTTCTAGCTTTGTCAGTGGTTAACCAGTACATAAGAACAGGAATATATAGTTTAAAAACTAAGAGAATGAGAGAATCATTAGAATCCTTACATCAAAAAATTAAAAGGAAAGAAAAATAACATTGAACAGCAAGAGCAGTAGAAAAGCACATAGTAAGCTGGTAGGGTGAAATTAAAATATATCATTACATTAAACTAAAGCTAAACAGACAATATTTCAGCTTAAAGAAAATTATTTTCACACTGGGAATTTAAAAATGTATAATCCTGCTATACATTATTTAAAAACACATATGTAATATAAATATACTCAAGAGGGAAGAGAATAGTCCTCCCATAGCATATCTTTAAAAAAAAAAAAAAAAAAAAAGCTTCCCAAGATTTCAGAAATTAAGATTTTAAAACCTTTATGCTCTTCAATGTTTCCTATTATTTTAAAATACTGGTATCCACTTACTAAAAAAAGAATCATTGCTCACCAGCCAGAATGCCACCTCTGGGCCCTCTCCCTCAGGATCTCTCCCCAGGGAGTAAAGCACATACGCCCTTACTTATTCTGGAGTAAGGATGACACGGACACATATTTCCATGGAAAAACCCTCTTGTTTATTTGATTAAACAAAAATAAAATAAGCTGCATAGGAACAATTTTAAAGTCCAAAGAGACACCAACTTTGTTTTAAGGCTGCAGTAGCTGATACAGCATCTCCTTGCTACCTTCTCCAGCCTTCTCTATGGACCACAGCGATACATTCAGAAGCCTGTTAGCTAACACAGGAGTTTTTGAACACTTTTCCATTGGTTCTTCATCTGCTCATTGCCTGTCATGCCAGCGGCCTACAGTAAAACAATTTAGGATTTTAAAATAAAAACCCAAAGGGTGGGAGAGACCCACACTGAACAAAAACCCATTTTAAAGGTTTTGGGGAAAACCTTTGATTCCCCATTCTTCACTTAACTGATGGGATCCACACCATCACAGCAATGTCTATTTTAAGCAGTCACAAGAGGCAGTCAGCACCCCCAGATGGGCTTGCAGTATGGTTTCTGTGGCCCAGGGAGTTACTCTGGTGGTATATATTCCTTATATCTTCTCTGCCTTGGACAAATAGAAAAATAAAAACTTAAGTCATTCCAACATCAGGCAACACACCCATGTTAACTCTCCCAATTCTGCATTTTCCTTTCTCATCAAAACAAAAACAGCAACAACAAAAAAACACTCAGATCTGAGTCACAAAAATTAAAGCATTTTGCTGACCAGGCATGACAGCTAATGGACAGTATTATGCAAGATTCATAAAAAAATACCAACATCCCTCCCACCCACCCAAATATACCTAACATGCTAGTTAAAAACAACATCCCTTACCCACCCCACCCTCTCACCTGCACTGATTTTAGGGGGAAAAAGAAACCATACCACCCTAAGGAATAAGAAACCCCAGAAACGTGAAAAATCTTCCTCTGAAGAAAGATAACTACAAAGACTGCTAGAAACATAAAGAACTATTACAGAGCTGGTTATTTAAAGAAAGTAAACACTTTGCTACACATGTTAACATTCAGTCAGTGTGCTCTGAGATAGAGCTGTAAGACAAATACTACCTGAGCTTGAAAGTTAATACAATCATTAAAAGGAGGTCTAAGACCATGTGGATACACACAACTTTTAGAACCATTACTGGTTAAATGATGATGGAAAAACATCCCACCAGGCTGGCTGGTTAACCCGTAAGATCAGTTTTAAAAATAGACATCATTGAGGTATTTCTTCACCATGACATTTAAACCCAATTCACAATTACAGCGGTCTTAGGGTCCTCTCTTCCAATCAAAACAAAAATTAACTAGAGAAAGGAGAGAGGTGGAGAGGCAATACAGTATTATCATGGTAATGTGCTTCTCAACTTTATCAAGTATTTAATCAACAAGCAAAGGAAAAGAAAACCCGTCAACATGTTACCTTTGGTAGAAAAAGAAATTAAAAACAAACAAAAAGCAACACAGACTTCACCAGTCACTGCTCAGCACAACAGTAAATGTTGCAATGTCATGGTGATGGACATCATGCCTGGGTCCCGGAAAGCTACAAATACAATCAAGAAGTCTAAAGAATTCTCATTCCCTTCAAATATTTGATGTTTCCAACAACTAGACCCTTGGAATTGCTCCTAAAAGGGTAAATTTGTAGACATTCAAAATATAAAATATTTTTCTCTTGAAGAGAAAAAGAGACCTAAAGGTCTCTATTCGCAGTTAAGTCCTCAATAAGTCACGTGAACCAGTAGTTTCATTAATACTGAGCAATATGGTGGTGGTGCGCACAATTCCTGGCAGGGGAAGAAAAAGCCAGACTGGTATGAAATACTTTTTATGACTACATATGCCTGAGTTTAGGAATAATTTGGTTTCAAAGTTTATTTTTCAAGGTCAAAAACAGTTCTCCTGGGAGAAATCTGTTCTGGATTTATGAAAACATTTCCTTCTAGAGGTAGCTTCCCATTCCCGCCGACTCCCTAGTGGATTAATACTATTTTTTTTCAGGAACTGTCAGGTGCTAATAACATGAGGTAGATGATCTTCGCCAAAAGTGAGGTAGAAACTAAACAAAAGCAGAGGTATTGTGGGAAGTGATGTGTGTCCTGTGCCCCTGGCCCGCAGGAAGCCAGAGAAAGCTAAAGAGCCTCTGGAGGTGCTGGCTCTACGATATCATCACACGCAAGTACAAGAGTTTGACTTTTATACAGCCCCAGACTGTTGGAAACTCGGTAAGAGTGATGTTTTAAATAAATACCCTAAATACTTTTTGGCACCATTAAAAAAAGAAAAAAGAAAAGAAAGAAAGAAAAACAAGCCTATAACTTTGGCATATCTTTTACTATCTACCAGAACACAGCAATCTTAGAATCTTCCAAAGAGGAAGACAACACATATACAAACAGTATTTTGCTGCCTCAAGTCTAAAAGACTCCTCAAATAATTAAGCTTTGGCTTAACTAGAGTAAAACAGACTGAGCCAATCTCAAGCTATTCTCCTACAACTCCATCACAAAGTGCCTTAAATCTGGCAACTTGTTTGGCCCAACACATAATTTAAAATCTGTTTATGGTACCCTTATATGTGTTTCCCCAAATAAGTTAGACTTAAGAGGGCATCCATCAAGCAAAGAGTTAGTGCACTTGGGGTACTGCCCAGGCCACTGGGCTCCAGTCAACTTGCGTGCCACCTGCCAGCCACGTAATACAGCACAGGTTCTAAGAGCACATTACTGCTCAGACCACATTTACAGAGGAATCGTTTCTTCAAAAATTAACACTTTGAAACGTTAAGTCAGTGTCAACCAAAAGTGGTTTTTACCTGTGGGTTAAATTTCCTTTAGTCATCTCAAACCTATACATCTAAATCTAATTGATATCTCCATAGATAAACTGACCTTCCACCCCATACTCCAGCACCTGTCCAAATCAGACATTCATGGGGGTTATTGTGTCAATATCAGTGACTCACCAGTAACATTTTATCCTCCTCCCTCACAGCACCCAGGACCCTATCTTCTAACCATGTTAAAAAGACCCCCTCCCATCCCCTCCCCATGCCCCTTGACCCAATTCCTATCTGCCCTAGCATCACCTCATAATGGGCAGTGGACACACATTTAAATATTCCTATTTTTAAACAGCCTCACTCACACTAGGGAGTTCTAAACATTTGCTTTTCGCATCTCTTTGATTTGGAGCATTCTACATTGTACAATAAACACACTCCAAAGTGCTTTGCACCAGTCCACGTGGGTCAGGAGTCAACCATGGGCAGCCACAGATGGCCAATGTTTTAAAAACAAAAGCTTCCCAAGTGTGACCATGCTTCTCAAATGGCAACCAGGCATAATTCTGGGTGCAAAAGGTAAGGCGGTGTGCCGCCACTGAGAACAGGGAGCCAGGACAACACCCACTTGCACACTCAAAGTCAGGGGAGGGCTTACCAGCTTTAAGCCTGCGAATCGGGTCAGTCTTATTAAGACCTTGATTTATTTCAGCCATGCAAAGAAACCCTGGCTTTACAACCAAATCCACATAAAAATTTTAACTAATAAAGCAGTTTTAGTTACAGTTATTCACTAAGAAAATCTCTCACTCAGGTCCCAAGATTTTCCCACATATGGAGAAACTGGGAAGACAAAAGTAAAGATGATGGATAGTACAAAAGTGAGGATGGAATAATCAAAGCAGCAACTACCTGAAGTAAACTGCCCCAGTCATTACCTAGGTTTCTGAGAAACTTTAAAGAACTTTTAAGATCATTTCCTCAGTAAAAAATATTTAAGCATTTAAAAGCAGTTGTCTTTGGTATTTAAAGGGTGATATGGGGGTGAAGGGTGGTATGTGAGGGAAGGAGGATTAGCACCAAGTTATTCTGAAATAAAAACCAATAAAAAATGTTTAATTGCATGATGTCTTTACCAAAGAGCTTAGGGGACAAAATAAAAGGCAACTGAGTATGAATTGGAAAGGGCTCATCATTAAATTCTTCAATAAAAGGAAAAGGCGCTTTTACAAAACATGATTTCCTAACTCCTCCCCACCCTGTAATGCAGCAGCTGGGAGGCAGCTGTGTGAAGCTACTTTTCAAATTTTTGAATCCATTATTACATACCGCTCTCCTTTATGAAGCAATGTTTCTCTCCCTTGGTCACTCAGAAACTAAAGCAATGAGAACACACAGGTACCTTTAAGCAGAAACTGAATGGCCAGAAGAGGTGGATGGGGGAAAAGACCTTGATTAGTTCTCCACATTGTTCCCCATCATCTCCTTTTCTTGGGATGAGAAAAAACAAATTATTTGTGAATTTATTCTGCTCATTTAAAACTACATATTGCAACAGAAATTTCTCTTCAGTAAGGAATGGAAACTGATGTCAGTCTTTTTAATGAAAAGGACTTTCACTTGCAAACCTTGCTTGCCAAATGATCTTATTAGTCCGTGTGTGGAAAGAAGAGGTCTCCCGGTACTCCACTGCTGTCTGAAAACACCTCTTTTTCCTGAGGTGTGTTACTCTGGAAAGTAGTTCTTACTTCATTGTGGGAGAACACAGGGACCCATATGGGTTTTGACAAGCAGGGTATTTGCTTTTACCTACTTCCCAATCAAAATACAGGTAATGCCCAGAAGCATAGGTTTTGTACCTAGTTTACCACAAACACTGTAAAGTGACAAATGCCATCCCACAGTACGGCAGTGGGAGACTGGCTTAAATTTGCATTCTTTGGTACCAAGAAGTAAGTTTAACAGAAGATCTTAGTCCTTACATTTCAGGCTGGGGCAATTTGGTTTACAAATCCTTTACATTCAAAGGCCTTGCTGGGGGAGGGGGCTCAGGTTAACCAAGAAGTCCTACAGCATAAAAGCAACCCTAGCAAAGGGTGTGGGGGTGGACTGTAACTATTAATGTGACTTCAAACATTCAATTTCCCTGAACATCCAAAGCAGGAAAAAATTGTGCTTTTAAAATAAAAGTATATCCCTTTGCCTACTCTTCCTAGCAAAACAAAGAACTAGCATTACAGAAAAACATTCAAACTAAGGTTAGGGATTGGCCCATGCCCTCCCACAGTTTGGGGGTGCCTTGCTTCTTTATCGTGCTCTCCACTTACTACCCAGCACATGCATGTCACCCACACTTATGTCCACATGTCAGTCCAATGTCTGAAAACCCTCTTTATAACCAACAGCAAACTTGACTGTTTAAGAATACTTTTGAAAAAATCCTGAACTACATCTACTTTCTGGTGGAAACTAAAGTGTAAAAAGAGGTTTCTTTAGGAGGTGGCATATCATTTTCAGCTTTACTATTTCGGTGCAAGATGGCTTACACAAATACACACCTATCTTCCCTTAAAAAAAAAAAAAATTACATATCCTAAAATAGGAATAGTCTGCTTTTCTCAGCTAGTAAGTGACGGCCACATCGTCTAATAAGAAAAAACTCTGAACAGGATGATAAACACTGAGGTATAAAAGGAGAACACAGCAAAGTTATCTGTTGCAGCATTTCAAAAAGGAAACAAAATTTAAAAAAAAAAAAAAAAAGATTTTTCCAATAAGATCACACAACACAATCTAACTCCATAAACATAGTATTCTCACGAACACAGAAACTCTATAAGCATTTTAAATCCTATTTTTCCATGTCTTATAATTTTTTGTTTTTACTTAGTAGTTTTTTTTTGTGTTTCCTTGGCTCAATCTACAGAATTCACCCACCACACACATCCAGTGCCCTCCCAGCCACAGAGATGCGAGGCTTGTGCATATCACGCCCCACCGGAGAGGAAAAGGGAAGCGTGAACTCCACGGAGTGAGGACAGGAGGAGGGGGCAGAGGGCCTGCTGGAGAGGAAATGTACAGATTGATGAGGTAGATAGAAATTATCACTTCACAGGCTCAATCCCTGCAGAAAAGATAAGTACATTCATCTGTAAAAAAATAAAGATGAGGTAGGACTTAAGCAATGTTGTACTCTTCTTGTTCTCTTTTAAACAAAAGAAAAAAAGAAATTTCCCTGAGACTGTTTCGTCTTTGAAATTCAAAAGGAGAGAGAGAGACGCACACATGCACACCCCAAACACAGAAGCCTAGAAAACGTGATTAGAAGACGAGGATTCGATTGTTGCCAAAGTCCACCACAACGATCATTCCGTCTGGGGTGACGGCGATGCCGGAAGGGCGGTCCATCTGTCCAAAGCCGCTGCCCTGAGCACCGAACTTGCACAGGAAGCTGCCGTTGGACTCAAACATCTGTACCCGGTGGTTCCTGGAATCGGCCACGATGATGCGACCCTCCTGGTCCACGGCCACACCCTGCGGGCGCAGGAACTGCCCATTGCCGGTACCCTCCGAGCCCAGGAAGCGTGCTGACTGGCAATCGGGGTGAATGACCAGGAGCCGGTGGTTGTTGAAGTCGGTGACCACCAAGTGGCCCTCGTGGTTGAAGGTCACACCCCGCGGGGAGTCAAAGTGCTTCCAGAGAGCTCCCTCGAAGCCGTACTTATTCAGGAAGACTCCATCCGGCCCAAACAGCTGGATCCGGTGGTTCCGAGTGTCAGAGACCAGGATCTTGCCTTCAGGATTCACAGCCACATCCCAAGGGTAGTTGAACTGCCCATTCTTGGTTCCTTTCTCACCAAACTTAAGGAGGAACTGGCCCTCAAATGTGAAGATCTGAATGCGATGATTGTCCTTATCCGCCACCACAATTCTTCGGGAGGCGTCGCAGGCCACTCCGGCTGGTCGGTCAAACTGCCCGGGCCGGGAGCCCAGGGTGCCGAACTTGTGGTGGAAGGCACCACAGGGCTTGAACACCTGGATGCGGTTGTTGCTGCGATCCGCGACAATGATATAGCCCTCCTTGTCCACACTCACGCCCCAGGGGCGGCAGAGTTTGCCGTCGCTGTCACCTTCACTGCCGAAGCTCAGGCCGGGAAGCCCGATGCCTACGTAGCTGCGACCCGACTTGACCACCACCTTGAAGGGGCTGTTCTCTATGTGCTGGTTGCACATAGTGACGGACACCAGGTGCTCGCCCTCTAGCTGGGGCCGGTAGCTCACCACATAAGTCCCATTCTGCTGATCGCTCACCTCTGCGCCAAACAGATTGCCATCAGGGCCGAGGACCACGGCTGACATTAGATCACCTCCGGAAAGACGAGGTTCCCCATCGTGGTCATAGCCGATGACGGTGAAAGAAGCCACCTTGCCCTGGAGCGCCCTCTTGAGACCATCACCCGTGGCCTTGGTGAGTGGTGCAAAGGCCCCGCTGCTGACGAATCCGAAGGACTTGATGGCGAGATACAGTGCCTGGTCAGGGGGTGTGAACATGACCCGGTCATCTTCCTGGGGCTGCAGGAGGCTGCGCACGGTCTTGAGCTCCTGCACCTGGGCCAGCATGCGGTCTCGGGCCAGCAGTATGTCCAGCGCCCGCCCCTCCTCCAGGACCTGCTGTACAGCGCTGATGGTGCTTTCCAGCTTATTTAGGTTTTGCCGCAGCTTCTCCACCTGCAGGTATAAAGACTTGGCTTTCACCTGTCGAATCTTCTCTACCTGGAGGAACAAATGAGAATAAGGAAAAGAGGCCACAGGGGCTTAGAACCAAGCTCAGAAGGCAACACATAACCCAGGCTCTACTCATGAAGCCTCACAAACCCCCTTCACCAAGGAACACAAAACACAACTGGTTTAACACGCTTCAAAAACGACCAAATCCATCGGCAGAGGAAAGCTGAGTAACTTCCAGATTAAAAGATGCTAGAAACATGACAACTACAGCTGTGCATCACTCACCAACAGGGATGTGTTCTCAGAGCTGCATCACTGGACACTCCATCTTTGTGTGAACACCACAATCTAACGACGCAAATGGAGATCGTACTGTCTACTTCCTATAGCCAGACTGCATGACATAGCCAACTAGGACCACTGTTGTATATGTGGTCCGTTCTTAACCTGAATGTCATGAAGTGATGCATGATTGTAAATGCAAAGAGTGATCATGGATTGGAGGGGGGCACATTAATAGCTCTTAAAGCCATTATGGAGAAAATTGGTGAAATCTGACCACAATCTGAGGACTAGACACTAACAAAAGCACCAAGATTCCTGATTTTGATAGCTGTGACAACTCTGGACTATATAAATGAATGTCTTTGCTCAGAGGAATGGAACACTGAAATGTCTACCCACCACATGTCTATGCATACAGAGGATGATGAAGATGGAGCAAAATGTAAATGACTGAGTCTGGGTCAAAGACATACACAATTCTCTTACTATTCCTAAACTTTTCTGTAAGTTAGAAATTATGTATAAATAAAAATGAAAAATTAAAGTCATCCAACAAATGTTTACTGTGTACCTACTTTGTGCCAGGCACAAGTACACTCCTTGCTCTCACAGAGCTTTCAAAATGACAGATATTAGGCAAGTAAACAAAGAAAAGAGCTAAGATAATTTCAGAGAGTATAACAACAGGGTGTGAAATTCAAGTAACCTGGAAGGCCTGATTTAGAGGGCTGTCAGAAACCGTTCCTTACTGGAGCTGAGACTTGAAGATTGACACAAGCAAAGGGAGGTAAACAGAGACTGACCCAGGCAGAAAACAGAGAGGCAGGCACTTATTTGAATTTTTTTAAAGTTTTTAAGATTTATTTATTTATGCATATAAGAACTGGGGTGCAGGCCAGAGGGGTGGCGGGGGTGAAAGGATTCATCAGAGACAGAGTGGGGAGCAGAACAGGTAGACTGACTAAAAACACACTGCAGAGGGGAGCAGCAGGTGAGACAGGAGAGGTCTGCTAGGCCATGTGGGTCAGCTCCCTGGCTGGGGGATCGAACTCATGTTGCAGTGGCTGCAGATAGCTTCAGAGTGCTGTGACTTAACCCCTTGTGCCACCGGGGAGGCCAAAAAAGCCAGTTTTAAGTAGGGAGTGACATGGACAGATTTGTTTTGGTAAACGTCAGCTACATAAGTGTGCACTAGAGAGAAGCAGCAGATAAGGAAGGAGATGAGACCCGTGATCATTCAGGTGAAGGAAGGTGGTAACACAGGCAGCCTAGGGGGCTGTGGAGGTGGAGAGAAAAGCAGCAGAACGGATCCTGGAGTCAGAATCAGCAGAGCTTCCTGATAGACTGGAGGACAAAGCTAGTCATGCAATCCCCCCCAAAGTGAATGTTGAATGCTGCTACAAAGAGGCAGAAGATAGGAGACAGTGTGTAGAGAAAGCAAAAGTATTTGGTGAGGACCTAATTCAAAGGTACAAAGTCCCCCGTTTCTCTAAGTGTCCTCTTTTCACATCTGAATCTTAAGTATAGGTTTTAGAAACCTTCAACAGGGGAGACTGAAAGGTCCCACACCCCAGATTTAGAGATAGTTTGTGGTAACTGCTAGCCTGCGTTGTTTCTAAAGGAGCCCTTCAAATATAAGATGCTAAAAAACAAATATAAGATGCTGTTTTACATAAACATGGACCCTAACCCACCAAAATAATCCCAGCTTCATAAATTCTGAAACCATGGTCATTGGGAATGTGGGATTTTGTCTGACCACGAAACTGTCATCCCTCCGTTCTAATACAATAACTAATCAAAGTCCTCTAATTTTAAGTGATCATTTCCCTCATGAAGGGAATAAACAAGCCGCCTGGCTAGTTCATGCTCTCCTGCAGAGGACCATGACACTTTGGAGTGCTCCACCAAACGATCTGAAATCCACAGAAAGTCTTAAGTGTCCACTATTGGGTGACCAAGGGTTTAATTTTTCCTCTTGAGGGGCGAGGAAGTGATTTTTGACCCATTTATGCTTTCTCATCTGTCTACTATGAAGGCAGGACGTGTGTGTGCACATGCTCCTGTGGGGACAGATCAAAGAGAAGCTTCATCCTTTGGTCTTGAACTGGGTCAAAGCTCTGGGCTTTATGATTCTTCAAGAGCTGCTTGCAGCTAACCTTACTGGGGAGGTCAAGTCCCCCGGAAATTTTTAAACCACAAGAATGAAGAGATACATGAGGAACTGGTACTCAAGTAACTCATGTCCAATAACTAAGGATACAAGAAAACAAAACACAACAAAACTCAGGCAAAAACAGGCAAGAAGGCTTTGTTGGAAGTGAACAGAAAAATCAGCAATTAATAAAAGAGAGGGGGTATGCCCACAGGCTTTTGGGCAACAAAACGTAACCAAGTGTAAAGTGAAATGAGACCCAGGTGTGTCCAGAATGAGCAAGCCTATTTTGGAGTTATCTGAGAATGAGCTGTTTATCCTTTTTAAGATTTGACGCTTCTTCCATATTTGCTTTTCCTAGAGTAAAAATTTCCTTTCCATTTGTCCTGGAAAAAAACTGCCTTTAGAGAGGACCCTGAGTCAGCCTCACAGGAGGGAGGGCAACTAAGGTGAAATCTGCAGAAACTCCTACACACAAAGGCCTTTTCATCAGCAAATCCAGAAGAGCAAGTTTGTGACAGAGCTCACCGCAGAGCTCTCAGGTTGCAAGCAGGCCCCTTTCAGCTATAATTAACATTCGTGGGTGGCATGAGACTGGCAGACCACGGGGACATCTGAGTGTCTGTAAACCATGTCAGGTCCACAAAGGTGCCTGAATAAAATATAGCTGAATTAAATCTTGGACTTTTCCCACCCAAAGAAAGGACTTTTCTTGTCAAAAGTAACTAAGCCAGATTCCTTGAAAGGTTGGAAGAAGCAGAAAGCAGCTAATTATTAGCTAACTAAATGAAAGCTGCAATGTGAAATCCAACATGGCCTTCTAGAACATGCTGGCTGGATGCAATAATTGCTAAGGGTCACTTTCAGAAACTACGATGTCATCTGTATCACCATATAGTTTAGATGATCAAAACAAGCTTGCTAGCTTGAGTGCACCCCTTTAACTGGCTATGTATACAGTCTAACTCATGTCTTCAGGTAATGAAATTAAAGTGAGCAGGTATTGGGCTCTAGCTCACGGACAGGTATAGTCCCCTCTTCTTCCTGAGTGGGAGTGAAGCATCAGAGAAGGAAATATTGGGGTGGTGCCTTGGGTGGAGAGTCTTTCCAGATTCCTGATTTCCTTCTAAAGAGCGCACCCACATGCTGCTCAGCTCTCTTTGTTGCTCCAACAGAAAAAATGGCACATGTTGACTGCCCTCCTATGTGGCAAACTGCTTTTCACAAGGGGTCAGGAAGCGCAACCAGCCAGGACACCAAAAATGAAGGATGCTCTCATAAGGACATTCTCAATTATATTCCTTTCTTTCTTGCTGCCTCCTTTTGAGTGTGTGGAATATAAAACCTGAGACTCTGTCCAGTCTTGGGTAGCCCCCAAGTTCTGGAAAGACTTATTGCTTCACTACATGGACAGCACCCAGTTTTCTAGAGAACCCTGCCTGTCTCTGCCAACAAACTTTTGAACACTACTGAAAGTTTTCTTAACTCAAGAGCCGGGGCCAGGATCTGATGTGAGAATTCTAGTCAAGTTTTACTGAGGTTCACAGAAGAAATATTGGCCAACCACCTAGGAGGCCAAGTGGGGGGCAGCCGAGTGGGGGTGGCATGCTCTCCATTACCTTCCACAGCAGCTCACACTCCCGCTCCTCCAGGGCCTTCTTATGTCTTGCAGTCACGGCTTTGACTTCTGACTGTACCACCTTTGCCTTCATCTCCACCTGTTCTGCCACCGTCTGGGCCTGCTCGATGCTCAGCTGGAAAACCAAAAACAACCTCAAGGCATCTGAAGGAACTTCTTCACTCATCAGACAAGACATTTAAGTCCAGGCACTTTTTTGGACCTGGGAAGTGAACAGCCTTCCTTGGCAGCCCCCATACTGCACAATCCACTTCCTTGGAAAGAAAGCAGGGACTTAGGGAGAGAAAGGCAGCTCTTGGACATGTAACTGAAGAAGCTGCTGGCAAGTGCTGGATTTTTTTGTATGAGAAATGGCACCTACGCTGTGGATGACAGGACTATTAAGAGATACGTCGACACAGTGAAACCAGTGTTGCTGGGTCACAGCCGAACACTGGGAATGAGGATCAGATGCAAAATATACTCTGGACGCAACAACTTCCCACAGACTTTGCAGGAAAGCACAAGGGCCTGCATATCTCTCACATGCGGGGACAAGTGGCCGCCCTGCTCCTTCCAAGAGAACCAACACAAAGTGCAGACTGAGAACATCACTGGACCCAGCTCAGAAACCACGTGCGAGTCCATCCTGCACTACTATATACCCCACCCTGTACCACCAGCCCCAGTCAGTCAGCTTAATCAGACGTATTATTGTTCATAAAAAATTAATCGAGACAGAAGGCCTAGTGTTTTCATTAATATTACATTACATGTCTTGAAAAGCCATAAGGATTGAGAGATTGAGGTATTAGATCAGGGAGGTGACAGTGACCACTGCTGCCGGTGCAACACGTTTTAGAGCAGGTGTCCCCACCAGGAGCAGGGTCTGGATCCTGATGGGGTCTCAGGAACCAGGTCATGGTAGCCAAGCCCCCACATGCCCTGCCTGGATGAAGGATTTCAGATATGGAATACAACTAAAACTTGGACAGGCTGAGTAAGCAGGTTAGATGGGTCTTCATAGGAGTCAGGAGACCGAGGTTCAAATCCTGGCCTTCTCCATCCTTGGTGAGCCTGAGGAAAAGGTAGAACAGTACCAGGCACAGAGCAAACCACTGCTATTACAGGGTGTTCTGCAGGCTAGTAAGACCATTCTTTGCTGCACCCAGCTCAGCTCCTGTCATGCAAGCAGGGCCAGGTAACCTAGGCCTATTTGCACTTCTTGCCTTACTGTTTTTAAATCATGGTAAATACAAATAACAAATTTTACCATTTGTGAATCTAGCACATTCAACATTGTGCAACCATCACTAGTATCTGATTCCAGAACAATTTCATCACTCAAAAAAGGAAACCCCACGCCCATTAAGCAGTCATTCGTCATTTACCCCACAGCAACCACAGTCTACTCTGTCTCTATAGATCCGTCTACTCTGGATATTTCACATAAATGGAGTCAAACAATACATGACCTACTTTACATTTATGAATATAATTCCCACTAAACAGTTGTGACTTGTCTTAATCACTTCTAATAGGGGCCCCTCTTTGCCATCTTTAATCCTCTCCATATGAATGACACATTATTGGTATGGGAACCACACCCTCATTGCAGCTACCCCAAACCACTCGTGGCTGACAGGCCTAGCAGCTCACTACATTTTTGCCCCAGTCCCCACAAAGCCTAAGGGTCCACTGAGTGGATCAGAGTTGGCACTTGGTTGCATGGCCTGGAACGCCTTCATCACCAAGTTCCCCAAAAACTTCAAACTAGCTTAGGTGACGCTTCCTTCCTAAAACTGGAAATGAAGGACACTCTCCCGTTGTGTTTTATTACTCCATCTTTACAATCCTGCCCAAGAGTCACTACATATCAAACTCAGAGGAGATTTAAGAACAGAGTCCATAGTACTAAGCCACTGGGTTGCAACAGGAACACTGCACGCATTTCACATTTGCTTGTGTCTATGCCATAATGACACAAAAGGCACCAAAGCAACTTTGCTGGGTTAACGATTCAGGTAAATTCAGGCCCATCTGAAACCTGAGAATGTTGAGCTTATTTGGAAATAAGTTGTTTGCAGATCTAATTAGTGAAGATGAGGTCTTCCTGGATTAAGCTGAGTACTGAGTCTAAAGACTGGTATCCACAGAAGGCCAGATGAAAACAGAGATGGAAAATCACATGAAGATTGGGGCAAAAACTGGGAGATATACAGCTACCCCGCAAGGAACAACAAAGCACTGCAGGCCATAACCGGGAGCAAGGAAAGGAGGGACAAGGAAAAGTTCTTCCCTGGAACCTTCAGAGGGAACATGGTTCTGTTTATACACCTGATTTTGGACTCCCATACTTGAGATAATGAGAGAATTAATTCCTGCTGCTTAAAGTCTCCCTATTGTTAGACCAGCCTGAGAAAAGGAATATGGTAGCCAAGAAAATGAAGCAGATGCATATATTCAAATTACCCCAAAGATAAGAAATTAGAATGGCCAATCAATGAGGTATACCTATGAGCAGGTATTACAATGGAGTTGGTAAATTTCCAACACCTCAGGCTATCAGTCCTTGTTGATTCAGAAAGAGAAACTTCACTAGACATTTTAAAACTGCCAAGGCCAACAGCGCCCTGAGGACTAAAGACACAGTAACTGCAGGAGCTACCTGCCCTGGGACTGGAAGTGGGGAATGGAAGGGGAGTGGGGGTGGGGAGGGTTTCACAAGAACCCAGAAATATGTAGACGTTATGTTCTACTCATGCTGGGAATTGCAAAACCTGGAAGTTGGAACCAACCTCTGTTATCAGGATGAAATAATGTTGCTGATAATGAACAGAAGTCAAAGGGAAGAAGCAATTTCTTCTTCCCACTTTCAGATGTGTGTGGTTTGATGCACTGCAGTCCTAGTATCACATGGATAAGAACTTAATAACCAGTACACCCTGTTTTCAGATGTGCTGGTTATTAATTAGCATAGAGCTACTCCAAGTAGCATGTGACCCACATAACAAAGCATATGTCATACTATTTTTTAATTCCTCAGTGGAAAGCACGGGTGGCAAATTGCTTTCTACCTGCACCCATGTCATGTCATTTACCAAAAAGATTTTTCACAAAAAACCAGAAATAATAGGCTCATAGTTGGTCAGGGCAAGAGAGGCTGGAGAGCAGTGATCACCCTGTACCCCAAGAGTGGATTCACACAGTGTCTCCTCCCTCTCCCCGAACTGTCTCCCAATCAGATATGCACTCTGGTGTATTCTTGCCAGTTCCTTGCAGATGCTAGGTTGGGAACGCCTATGACAACTGTTTCTTCCATTCTTCAATAGAACTGGTACAAAAGGGCTTACAAATAAGTTATTCCCAAGCATGCAAGGATAATATTCCTAAAGTTAAGAGTCATAAAAAAAAGTCGTATGTGTAGACACAAAATGGACCTTTCTGCCCCAGACAGTACACAACCCAGTCAAGGACTGCATTCCAGGATGTGCTGAGATGGATCCCTTTCTCTAAAGCAGGTAGGAGGTAGGTGGGTGAAGGAAATAAATGACAATGTGTGACCAGCAGCCATAAAATACAGAAAACATAAGTGATACACTACTGGACATCAACCACAGAGACGTATTTAGGGACACAACTCCAACAGCAAGAGAAACAGAAGATGGGACTACATCGAACTCAAAAAAGCTTTTGTTTCACAGAATAAACCACCACCCAAAAAAAGGGGTGGACTGCAACATAAGGACTGGGAGAAGCTATTTGCACATTACATAAAGAACTCCATACACCTCAACAACAAAAAGCAACCCAACCAACCAACCAACCAACCAACCAACCAACCAATAAATAAATAAATAAATAAATAAATAAATAAATAAATAAATAAATAAATAAATAAAGGGTAAAAGACCTAAATAGACACTTCTCCAGATTAAGGCATTCAGATGGCCTGTAGGCACATGAAAAAAATTACTTCAACATCATTTATTATGAAGGAAATGCAAATTAAAACTGCAATGAGATATCATTTCACTGCTACATCAAAAACACCGGGGGGGGGGGGAATCAGGTAGGTGAGGATACTGAGGAAAAGAAACACTTGCCTACTGTTGGTAGGAATGTAATATCGCATTGCGTCTAATGGAGAGCCCTCAAAAAAAAATAAAATCAGAAACACTGTATGATTCAACAACACTACTGCTAGGTAATTACCCAAAGAATATGAAAACTAATATGAAAAGATTTGTTAACTCCTATATCCAAAGGAGCATTATTCATAACAGCCATGAAGATATGGAATCAACCTAAATTAAAGAAATTGTGGGAAGATTACTCAACTATTAAGATTACTGATTTACTAACAGAGGGAAAGTAATAAAAGTTTGTATCTCATTTAAGATTATGGTGAGCCTGCAATGAAACCCACTGTGCATAACCAGTATGATACAAGGCTGGGTTGTAGTCAATGGCTACAAGAAATGCTATGCAAGGCTTCTTCTTGAATCTCTATAAAAGGCTGGAAGAGTATGCCCACTTCTCTTCACTGTCCAGAACGTCAAGGTGACAGACTGAGTTCTGGCAGCCCTTTTGAGACACAGGGATCAATGTCAACACCAAGGAATGGTGGGACAGAGTTGAAGGCTTCTCCATCGACTGCCTGTATCACAAGACTTCTTTTTTCAATAGGAGAGATGAAATCTTGAGATTTAAACCGCTATTCTGCGACGCAGTGAGGACCTTCAAAAATTCATTGCTGGGGCCTCCCTGGTGGAGCAAGGGGTTAAGTCTCAGCACTACGAAGCTATCCACAGCCACTGCAGCATGGGGTTCAATCCCTGGCAAGGGAGGTGACCCACATGGCGCAGCAGACCTCTCCTGTCTCACCCACTGTGTCTCTGGTGAGTCCTCTTACTCCCTACACCTCTGGCCAGTACCTCAGTTCTTGTATGCATAAATAATCTTTAGAAAAAATTCATTGCTAAATTCATTCTGTAGCTGATTCAAACAAAACAAAATCTTCATCTATCACAGAAAGCAGATTTAGTGGTTATCTTGAAACAGGAAAACAGAAAGGAAAGGAATACCACTAGGAAACTTGTGGAGGTTCATAATCTTGACTGTGGTGACATTTTCAAGGGTGTCAAATCTATGTTGAACACTTTACATATAAACGGATTATATACCACTTTTCCTCAAGAAAGTTGAAACAATTTTGCTTCCTTCCAATCATATGAAGAAAACACTATGATTAATATTTTGGTCCATTTTTATTATCCTCCCCTATTTCTTGCATTCTTTTCTGGGTTTCCACAATTTTTTCTTGAACCAACTTCATGGCTTTCTTGTTTTCATGAACACTATGTTTTGTTTTATGTGGTCACAAATTTTATTTTCCCCCAGAGCAATAGAAACTACTCTTGAAAAGTTGTGAAATACAAGTGAAAACTAGCTTCTATTTTTTAACCTTAAGGGGGAGTTATATGTGTATTTTTAAGAAAATACCACTCCCCCCAAAATTGTATGTTGGCTGACTACACACTTTCTGCTCCAATGTTCATACTAAGAACAGAAAACAGTCTTCACAACATCTCCATTGTACTCTTTAATACAAACACTATTAAATGACAACATAAACAGCATACAGTTGGGCATCCTATTTCATTAACATTTTGACTAAATGTCCGAAAGAATCAAGAGCCCAGTGCACTGCACACCCAAGACAGCATTTTAATGGCATTTCTACATCTCTTCACCCCATGGACCTCATGTCAAGATTTCAGTGACTGTCGTTTTTTTCATTGCTTAGGGAAACCAATAAAGGAGGAAATACTTATTCATACAAATCTAATAACTATATAAGCAAATAAAAGCATACCCTTGTGCTAGAGCCTTTCCCAGTATCTTCCAGATGCGCTTTGTAAGTGACTTTTGGAGACAGGGAATCCACCTGAACCTCTCAGAACAGGGTTCTCCCTTAACATAGAGGTTCAGGTCAATATTTGCTGAACACAAACTCCTGTTCTCAGTGAGTTTCAGTGACACATAACTACATCATCCTGACCCCTACTAGGAAAATGAAAACTGGGGCCACACCAAATCTCTTGGCCTTGGGGACAGAGCTCATTTCAGTGGCTTAAAAGGCAACAAGCTAGCTTTTTGGCAACTGGTTTTTAAGCAAGGCTAAGAGTCCTCAATCTTTACCTCTACTTCCCCTCCCTGCCCTAAAGGTGGGTGCTGACATTACAGAGTTAACTCAGAGGGAAAGAGCTGTTGTGTTTTTTAACCAACACCCAAGGACTTCTTTCTTAACAGGTATGGGGTGGTAGAAGGGGAGAAAGACATGCTCTACTTTCATAGAAGGTCTCCAGACAGTTTTCCAAGTAGAGTCAGTGTGCTCAGGATCTGATGCGCCTTTCAGATAGAAGAAAGGTGTACTAGATCACTGAATGCAGTTTGTGTGATTCCATAAGGGCTTTCTAATAAGTGAATTCACACTTGTGCAGTTGGTATTCCGCAGGTGCACAGCAGTGTGGCCATACAGATTAGCAAACTTAACTCCCCCTGACCCCAAGTACCAACCAACCACCTGGCTCCTCTGCCCAAACTGCTCCATGATCCAGTATTTACATTAGCACCAGGTAGGTAGTACCACTAACATTTGGTTTTCATTCCAAGGTTATTTTCACTGTTACAGCAGAATCTCAGCTGACAGTGTATCTGCTTTAGAAGGTTAAATATGGGGGCCTCCCTGGTGATGCGAGGGGTTAAGACGCAACCTATGAAGCTGTCCGCAGCCTCTGTAGCACAAGTTCAATTCCCAGCCAGCCAGGGGGCCACCCACATGGCACACAGCAGACCACTTCTGACTCACCCGACACTCCCCTCAGCAGTGTACTTCTGTCGATCTGCCTGTCCTGTTCCCCACTCTGTCCCTGGTGAATCCTCTCACTGCCCCCCACCTCTGGCCTATACCCCAACTCTTGTATGCATAAATAAACAAATCTTTTTTAAAAAGTTGAATATGGTAAACAAAAACCTTCTGCACCCTCTCTGCACAAAAAACTACAATTTCCACTTCCCTGAGATTTCATCATTTTAAACACAGATCTCTCTTAAGCCTCCAGCAAATCACGACAACTCATCTTTCTCCCCTGAGTGTTTCATGCCAAAAAGGACAGAGAACACCAACATTCTCTCAACTGTGTCAAGGGCACTCTTAACTGTTTTCAAATATCCATGAACAGAAAGGAGTTAATAAGATCATCCTGCATCAAGGGGATACACCCAGAAACCAGTTCTTAGTGTTCCCCAGATGATGCCAACAGCAGCCAATGTCCAAGATGCATCAGCAAGGATAAGCATTTGACAAGGTCCTAACTGCAACATAGGAAAATGATTCATGGAGACAGGATTGAAACCACCTAAAACTGTGCATGCCAGCAAAGAAGAATTTAGCAGCAACTAAGAGACACTCTAAAGCCATGAAGGAAAGGAACTCTGACACAAAAATATGACAAAAATCAGTCTTTCAAGAAATATGGACCCTCAAACTTCAAATTTTATGACTTTAATATCAGATAATCTGGCTCATCAGAAAGATTTCCTCAAAATCATGCATAGGAACTTGATAGTTGCTGAGAAACTTATTTTAAAAACAGGCCTCTCTGGTGGCACAGGGGTTAAAGTCTCAGCACCATCTAGCTATTGCCAGCCACTGTGACATCAGTTCAATTCCCCACCAGGGAGCTAACCCACATGGTGCAGCAGACCTCTCCTGTCGCGCCCACTGCTTCCCTCAGCAGTATATTCAGTTTATCTGCCTGTTCTGTTCCCCACTCTGTCTCTGGTGAATCCTCTCCCCTCCGCACCTCTGGCCTACACCCCAGCTCTTGTATGCATAAATAATTAAAAAGAAAAACTGAATAGTAATGGTCTCTGTCTAAAAATCACTAAGTGTTCAGTCTTTCTGCAGTCCTGACTGAAATATACTAATATCCACTTGGATTGGGGGAGGGAGCTGGATGTGAAACAGGCAGATTAGGTGATAGGGGCCCGGTCTAGGTCTGAAAGCACCTTACAAGCCCTGACTGGCCACATCCTTCTATCTTCACAAGACTGCTAGAAGACATCTCCCCAGCCCCCCAGGGTACACATGGTATCACACGAACTAATCTGGGTCACTGTTCCATGGTCCTTACAAACTGGCATCTGCCTAGTAGTCTGCACATGCCATTTGAAAAGGAGTGGGAAAAGCTTTGGGGAAGGACAGGGTGTGAAGGGACTGACCTGGATAGCCTGGCGGCCCTGCTGGGCGTCAGCCAGCAGCTGGATGGTTAGTGCCCGTGAGTCCTGCAGCGCCTCCTGGAGGTAGATGAAGCTGTGGCCCCCATGCCGGCCCACTGTACACTCACGACAGATGGGCACTGAGCAAGTGTCACAGTACAGGTGCAGCACCTGGAGACCAAAGAGGGAGACAGGCATCAATGAGAGGTGCGGGGTGGGGGCAGCATGAAGGAGGAGTGCTCTGACCCATAAACCCAGACGCACTACCAGCAAGCACACTCCTACAGGGAGTAGGGGCAGAGCAGTCAACTGTAAGCACAGCTTGCTCCCCGCCACGTTCCCACCCGCTCTGCCCTGTTCCCATCTGCTCTGCCCCAATCAAGTAAAAAACAACCCATTCCCTCATTCCCCTTTTTCATTCAGAACCACAACTGAGACACTTCAAAGGCAAAGATGAGACGAAACAATCCTCCGGGCATGAGATATTTCTATGTCTTAGATTAATTACCCAGGAAAGTTATAAGATTATGTTTCTCTGGTCTGAGATTGGTAGCCCTAATGACAGAATATGCCAAGAGCTTCTCTTGCTACCCCAGTCTGAGTGTGTACAGCAAGGTTAGGGGCCAGGATCAACCACCCTTGCACCCTCCCCATCAAGGAGATTAATGCAAAGGAGCTTTCTCCCAGCAAGCTCTGGTTAAGCTTCTGGAACGAGTGTGTGTGTGTGTGTGTGTGTGTGTGTGTGTGTGTGTGTGTGTGTGTGTGTGTGTGTGTGTGTGTGTGTGAGAGAGAGAGAGAGAGAGAGAGAGAGAGAGAGAGAGAGAGGGAGGGAGGGAGGGGTTGGCACAAACCCCACCTGCTGATAAATGAGGAGGTCTCAAGAGAGAAAGTTCCTTGGCACAGAAAATGGGCCAGTTTCATTGTATCCTTCCACAGAACAGGGCACTTAGCACCACTCTCCGTAAATGTTTGCTGGATTGCTTTCAAGAGCAGAGCTTAAATTTGCCTCTCGTACACCTGGCTGTGAAGGAAAGCCAGCCAAAACGAAACAGGCAGGGAAGCAGTGTCCAAGCAGAGTCCTTTAGCTTACACAAGGGACTCAGTCCCCAGATGACTGAAAGGAGGGTGTGACTCGCTCAAGGCCACACAGCTAGCAAGGAAGGGCATGGCAGGAAGCCTACGGGCGTCAATGAGGAGCTGGTACCAACACAAAAGATACCAGCCACCTCATCCAGAGCACAAGCAGCACCATGCTAAGTGTTTGTGGAACTCAGGATACAGACAGGAGAACTTCTGGGAAATGGTTCTGGCCTAGAAGCAGGGCAGGGTGGGAAATATAGTGAGAAAAAGTAATAGGAAGGGAAGACTGGTGATACCCAGTCAGCTAGAAGCCCAACACAGAAAGACCTGGGGGCAAAGGCTAAGAACGCTGCTTCTTGCCTCTTTCCAGGTCTTTTATTAATTACCCCAAATCTTGGCAAGGAGCATGTCCACTAGGAAGTGCTCTTCCAAGTGGCCTGCTCCACCTAGGGTTAGGAGAGTTAACAGGGAGGCGTGAGAGCTACAAGGGCTAGGCTGCCTCTCTGGGAACTCCCAGAAATAGGTAAGAGGAAAAGATTTAAGGCATTATGTTCCTATTTTTAAAGAAATGTTTGTCTGGTGTGGCAGATTTTATGGATCCTATTCCCTATTTGGTAGGTGGGAAATGTGATCAGGTTTGTGACTTTACTACCCTTTCTGTCCAGGGAGGTGCTATTCCAGCAACCACGGTAGAGTAAGACCACCGGGTAATGACAATTTGCCTTCTTCAAGGCCAATCGCTTTCTAAAACAGGTCCATTTAGAGGTGGGTGATCTAACTTTTCTAACCCGACAAATCTCAAATTCTCAAGCTAACCTTAAAAACGAACTAAATAATGCTCAATTGTATAGATTCGGGGGGAATTCCTGCACAATCTCATTTTATGACAGGGTGCTAAAGCAATTCTCTCACCAGTTTCAAGAACCCAACAGCACCCTTCCATTTGCTCTTTCCATTTGTCATGGGAATATAAAGGAGTCAGTCTTATGCTAGTGTGAAGTGTGAAAATCTCCCATCAGATGGTTCTTTTTAAATTAGAATGAAAACAAGCACTGAATCTTCAGCTCTGCTCCCTCTCATCTCTTGTATCTTTCTAAGGATTTACCTTTCCTGGAGCATAGCTGTGGGCACTGATGAGCACCCCCTTGCTTTCATCAGTGAGGGTGCAAGCAAACGGAATGGTGTAAGGATGAGACGGCTTGCATCCATCTGCACAAGCAGTCAGTGGAAGGAACCTGGGCTGTTAGCCTGAGCTAGCCCATGGTACTACCTGCCCATGGAATCTTCTGTCCAAACACTTGGTCTGAGCTCCAGTTTCACGTGAAACGGAACCTCAGGAGATCCCTTCACCACTTAAATCTCAGGAACCCTATTATCTCCAGGAAGTGGACATCAGAAATCAAAATGCTATGAAATAATTTCTGGTCCAAGCCATGTGCCCACTGTGTGCAAAGAATTAAGGTGGTTTTTCAGCTTGTTATAAAATCCGACCCTAGAAGATACCATGACAAACCCCATGACTGGTTGGCTTTTATAGGAATGTGCAGACGTAATGGCCAGAAGAGAAAGCCTCATCAGAATAGGTAGCAACTAGGGCCTCCCCGGTGGCGCAGCGGTTGAGCGCTGGGTTGTGAAGCTGCCCGCAGCCTCTGCAGCGCCGGTTCGATCCCCAGCTCCTCCCCGGCCACCGGAGGAGGGTCCCACGTGGCGTGCAGACCTCTCTCCTGCCGCCCGCTGCTCCCCTCAGCAGTGTACTTTGGTCCTTCTGCCTGCTCTGCTCCCAGCTCTGGCTCTGGCTCTGGTAGGTACCTGAAGTCCCTGGCACCAGGTCCCTCTCCTCCAGGACCTAGGTACCTCTCAAATGTGCAAAAGTCACCCCACCCTCACAGGCAGTCTCCACACAGCATCATTTTCACACATAGATTTCCATGCAGCTCTAAGTGCCCAGAACACAACAGATGATTTCAGATGTGTGCTAGTTTCTGTAGTTCAGGCTGGCTGTAGGGACCACGGGGAGGGGGAAGCACCCAACTGAATACAAGAGGCACAGCACAGGTGAGTGAAAATATGACCTCAGTGGTTCATGTAATCTACATACCATTGGTTTTTAAAAGAACATTGTCCAAAAATTATAAAACACAAGCCATCTAACTGAAAATTGGGAGTAAAATTTTAAGATTTCACACTCCATTTAGAAGCTCCTCCCCTCATCAACTTTCAGTTTCTAAGCTCCCCGCCCCAAAAAATTGCAGTTTTAATGTTGGTCGCATGTGGTCAATGGGCAGTAATACATGGTGCTCTTTGAACCCCTGGGAATCATTTTAGAAGAATGAACTGGTGCTTCCATCTCCAAAGGATTGAGCAGCAGAGGGTTCACCACCAGAAATGTGGCAGAGGCCCTGAACTACAGCTCTGTGAAGTGGGGGAGAGGGGCTGGAGATTGCTGTCCTCTGGCGGCAGGAATTCCAGGGTCTGGCACAACCGGACTTCCCCAGGAGATGTGTGGACACGCCTCCCTCCACCCCATGGCGACAATCTGGCTGCCTCTGCTGAATGGAGCAGGCTTGACCTCTGACCTTGCAAGTGACCACCCTCTTCCCTGCCCCCAGCTTCCAGAAGGCCCCACCTACTGCCTTCCTCTCCCAAAATTTCTAAAATACCAGGCAGAGACAAAGACCTCGGAATGCAGGCCCAGCAGGAAGGGAAGGGAAAGGTTAAAGAAAAAATAAATAAATAAAAATACCGCGTGGTAGGTTTACCTTAACCAGTTTTTAAAATAAAGTTCCTTGTTAACAAACAAGGCCTTGTGCGGGTGCTTTAGAATGTAGCTTTTTATCCAACAAGGAACACATATCCCAGGACCCCTGTAAAGACCACCACACATCTGAAGGAACGAGCTTCCAGTTCAAAACACAACTACCCACATGAGTTGAAGAATGTAAACTGAAAGGAAGGAAAGGCCTTTCGTCAAAATGCCTCAACTGAAAAGTATCAACGGCTGTGAGCTTAGTATTTTGAGATGTCTTTAACACCCCTTAAAATGAAATCTGGCCGGGCCTCCCCGGTTGAGCGCTGGGTTGCAAAGCTGCCCGCGGCCTCTGCGGCGCCAGTTCGATCCCCGGCTGCTCCCCGGCCACCAGAGGAGGGTCCCACATGGCGCGCAGACCTCTCCTGCCACCCGCTGCTCCCCTCAGCAGTGTGCTTCGGTCCTTCTGCCTGCTCTGCTCCCTGCTCTGGCTCTGGTGAATTCTCTCACCCTCCCGCGCTTCTGACTGTACCCAGTGCTTGTATAAATAAATAAAAAAATAAATCTTTAAAAAAAAAAAAAAAAACAAAATAAGAACTTTAAAAAAAAAAAAAATGAAATCTGGCCTCCCCAAAACTCTGACCTAGCCAAGCGGCAGTCTCCACTCAACCAAAAGGGTGTTTTCCGCTTTATAGATAAGAGGTCTCTTGGGTGACCACCTTTCTACCTTACCTTTCTACCACTTTTGCAGGCTCACCTATTAAACAATGGCAAACCGGGCCTCCCCGGTGGCGCAGCGGATGAGCGCTGGGTTGCGAAGCTGCCTGCAGCCTCTGCAGCGCCGGTTCGGATCACCAGCGAACAGGCAAGGGTCCCACATGGCGTGCAGACCTCTCCTGCTGCACCCGCTGCTCCCCTCAGCAGTGTACTTCGGTCCTTCTGCCTGCTCTGCTCCCCGCTCTGGCTCTGGTGAATTCTCTCACCCTCCCACACTTCTGACTGTACCTACTGCTTGTATAAATAAATACAATCTTTAAAAAAAATAAAAAATGGCAAACCAAGTTCAAGGAGCAAAGTCCAGCCATGAAATTAAGTCCACTAGATAAACTTGATTTAGGGGAAATACACTGAGGCCCCAAACTCAAGGGAGAGACACCCCGGAATTTTGTCCATGTGGTTGCGGTGAATGGGGGTGGGGACAGACAGAGGGGAGGAGGAAGGAGTTTAAAGCTCTTCAACCACAAGATGGGGAGGGGGGTGTGTGCTGCACAGGGAGCATCAAAAACTTTTTTTTTTTTGGTTTATTTACATAGAGAATATGCACACATGTTAAATGCAAGAAAAA